AAGAGCAGGTGGTCCCGCACCTGCCCAGATTCCGGGTCCACAATAAGGCTCTTCAGCTTGCATCTTCGACACAGACATCTTATCTCCGTCTCGTTCTTTTGAAGCATCTCGGCCTTCACGGACCTCAAAAACCTATTCACGATGCCTTCGGTCATCATGCGGACCATGGTCGCCTGCGGGGTAGAGCAAAACGATATTTTAGAACCAAGAAAAAATTTGGCATGACTTTCCCTAAAAATAGGACCAAAAAGAATGCTTAATGCCAAAATTCTCGCCGAAACGGAAATGAATCAACATTCCGGCAAAATATTGGCAACTATCGCATTTCAAATACCGGTACACCTCCAAACACAAACACATATGCAACACCACAAACATATGCAACATCACGAACATACATAGATCTAGTTAGGCCATAAAAAGTGCATGTGCACATTGTTGTAGGGAGAATAACATAAATATAGCTTCCCCCCTTACTTACCTATCAAAACAAGGTAATTTAACCACTTAAATTGAATGAATCTATGGTGGAAATGAGGTGAAAAAGAGGAGGCACCCGAGACAAGGAGGAGGTGGAGAGAATGAAGTGGGGAGAAAGTGAGTGTGGGTAAGAGAGGCTGTCCAAAATATCTTGTTGCTGCCCACTTACTAATGGCGCACCAACTCTAAATGCGCCATTAGTAATCCAGGTTACTAATGGCGCACCTTCTGGTGGTGCGCCATTAGTAGTTTTGGCAAAAAAAATACTAATGGCGCACTGTCCCACAGTGCGCCATTACTAGTTTAAAGTAGTAATGGCGCACGGTGGAACAGTGCGCCATTAGTAGTTTTGCAAAAAAGGGAATAAAAAATATAATAAAAAAAACAACATTAGTGGCGCACTTTCGGGCAGGTGCGCCATTACTAGTTACAACTAGTAATGGCGCACTTTGTCTGGATGCGCCATTAGTATGTTTGGACAGGCGCACTAGTTAAAAAAAATTTGATACTAATGGCGCACCCTGGGCCAGGTGCGCCATTAGTAGTTTCAACTCTAATGGCGTATCAGAAGGTCGTGCGCCATTAGTATGTACTAATGGCACACCGCTTGTCTGGTGCGCCATTAGTGTCAATCCTATCTATAGCCCTTTTTCTAGTAGTGACACCATGTCCCTAGTAAGCCTCTAGTTGACTAGCTCGTTGATCAGTAGATGGTTATGGTTTCCTGATCATGGACATTGGATGTCGTTGATAACGGGATCACATCATTAGGAGAATGATGTGATGGACACGACCCAATCCTAAGCCTAGCACAAGATCATGTAGTTCGTATGCTAAAGCTTTTCTAATGTCAAGTATCATTTCCTTAGACCATAAGATTGTGAAACTCCGGAATACTGTAGGAGTGCTTTGGGTGTGCCAAACGTCACAACGTAACTGGGTGGCTATAAAGGTACATTACAGGTATCTCCGAAAGTGTCTGTTGGGTTGGCACGAATCGAGACTGGGATTTGTCACTCCGTGTAAACGGAGAGGTATCTCTGGGCCCACTCGGTAGGAAATCATCATAATGTGCACAATGTGATCAAGGAGTTGATCATGGGATGATGTGTTATGGAACGAGTAAAGAGACTTGCCGGTAACGAGATTGAACAAGGTATCGGGATACCGACGATCGAATCTCGGGCAAGTATCGTACCGATGGACAAAGGGAATTGCATACGAGATTGATTAAGTCCTTGACATCGTGGTTCATCCGATGAGATCATCGTGGAACATGTGGGAGCCAACATGGGTATCCAGATCCCGCTGTTGGTTATTGACCGGAGAGTCATCTCGGTCATGTCTGCATGTCTCCCGAACCCGTAGGGTCTACACACTTAAGGTTCGATGATGCTAGGGTTATAAAGGAAGTTTGTATGTGGTTACCGACTGTTGTTCGGAGTCCCGGATGAGATCTCAGACGTCACGAGGAGTTCCGAAATGGTCCGGAGGTAAAGATTTATATATGGGAAGTCCTGTTTTGGTCACCGGAAAAGTTTCGGGTTTTATCGGTAACGTCCCGGGGGTCCACCAAGTGGGGCCACAAGCCCCGGAGGGCTGCTTGGGCCAAGTGTGGGAGGGGACCAGCCCCAGGTGGGCTGGTGCGCCCCCCCACCAAGGCCCAAGGCACAAGGGAGTGGGAAGGGGGGCAAACCCTAGGGAAGATGGGCCCTAAGGCCCACCCTGGTGCGCCTCCCCCTCTTCCCTCCCCTTGGCCGCCCCTAGATGGGATCTAGGGGGCTGCCGCCACCCCTAGGGAGGGAACCCTAGGTGGGGGCGCAGCCCCTCCCCTCCCCCTATATATACTTGAGGTTTGGGCTGCCCAAGACACACGAGTTCCTCTCCTTCTTGGCGCAGCCCTACCCCTCTCCCTCCTCGTCTCATGCGGTGCTTGGCGAAGCCCTGCTGGAGTACCACGCTCCTCCACCACCACCACGTCGTTGTGCTGCTGCTGGATGGAGTCTTCCTCAACCTCTCCCTCTCTCCTTGCTGGATCAAGGCATGGGAGACGTCACCGGGCTATACGTGTGTTGAACGCGGAGGTGCCGTCCGTTCGGCACTAGGATCTCCGGTGATTTGGATCACGACGAGTACGACTCCTTCAACCCCGTTCTCTTGAACGCTTCCGCTTAGCGATCTACAAGGGTATGTAGATGCACTCTCCTTCCCCTCGTTGCTGGTTTCTCCATAGATAGATCTTAGTGACACATAGGAATTTTTTTGAATTTCTGCTACGTTCCCCAACACAAACATGTCCAGCGCTTGGTAGACAGGACCTACTACTGTCCCGGGGCTGAACTAAACTGCGAGGAGCTAAGTCATTATGTTTCATGGCTTGGGGATCTTGATACTGTCAAGACAAATTTTCTTCCTGCATTTAGAAATGTTAGTACTGAAAACGTGCGACCAATAGTGTTCGTAATGAACTATGGTCACATCTATTTAGAAAGGATGGTAAGATTTTTACTATTTGTCCTCGGTGCATCTTTTCCATACATTATTTTTGAAGCTAAATTTCATTGCTAAGTATGTTATCATACGATGTTCTTCAACAAGGACTCCCGATGAATGTTGTGTCTTATGGGATCGAGACTAAAGGTACCATGAGTATTATTAGCTTACAGCCAAGATATCCTACAGATTACTTTAGTGCATTCAAGATTAGCGACAGATGCTTAATAGTGCAAGACTGGATCAAATGTGTGATGGAGAAGCGCAGAGAAGTACTAGGGGGCAGCAAACAGATGCGCTATCCATGATTAGGAGACAGGTTCATCTGCATGCTCCAACTTTTTCAAGGAGGAGAGCTATACATGTTTTATGTTATTTTACCTAAGAGAGAGCGGCAGGAGTGATTAGCTAGCTAGAAATGAGTTTGAGGATGATGATGTGCTACACTATTACTATGATGATAAAATAGCTAGTGTTGGTGGTAATGACTATGATGATTATTATTAGCTAGTGTTAGTGGTGATTAAATAAATACTGTTGGTGGTAATGACTATGATGATGACTAAATAGCTTATGCTAGCGGATTAGATTTAAGTGGAGGCAACATGTGGTGCACATCGAAAGTACTACTAGTCCAAACTAGATCAAATTTGGATTAGTAGTATACTTTTGACATGCACCACATATTGCCTCCACTTAAACCTAATCCACCTTTATTTGACACACTGTTATGGACATAATGATGTAAACCTCATAATTGATATTGTACCAATATTTGTACGATGTCGCATAAATACACTAAAAATAAAAAAATAAAAAAAAATACTAGTAGCGATGGAGAGAAAACACGCTGCCAGTAGTTACATTAGCAGTAGCGTAGGAGTGAACAAACGTTGCAGCTATTTGTTCTAGCAGTAGTGCGTGCAGGCACGCGTTGCTGCTAAGCAATAGCTGTAGCGCCTTATTAGTAGCGCGTCTACCCGCGCTACTAGTGAGCACAAAACCAGCGCTACTGCTAGAGTTTTTCCTAATAGTGGAAGCTAGATAAAAAGTACCAGTCATACCAAAAACTAAAGACACTGACTTGAATATAATATCGTATCTTTTAGTTGGCCCTTCCAAACAATGCTTTGCAATCAAGCTAGAAAAAAGAGGATGAAACATGAATACCACACCTTTACCTACCCAGAGAGTAGGATCCCTCGATTCCATCCATGATTTGAAAAACTATAGGAAAAGAAGGGAATTGATCCGGAGAACTATGGTCGCGCTTTTTTTTCTCTCTACTTGACTCAGCTTGACCTACTTGACTCATCGGTTAAAGTACTTCTTTCATACAACGAGAGAGTCGGTTCAAATCCAATAGTAGGTAAAACCACCAGAAACCCTTGCTTTTTGACTCAAGCTCACAAATCAATCAAAGACCCTCTGAGGAGGCTTTTCCTTATTAAAAATCATCCAAATAGTGAAATGTACAGAAGATAACAATAGTGGTACATAGGTTGCCAAGATAAAATATGTACTTGCACGAGATTTAATAAGCCATTTTTTTGTCGCATCCCATTCGATGGGTTACATCCAAGCGATGTAGGGTGCATGAAGATTCTTATTTTTTTTGAACAAATTATGATCTACAACAAGTCAAATTTTATCGAGAGTGGCTTAGCTCAGGCGGGAGGTTGGAAAGCTAAAATAGTTCTTGTAAAAAAGTTCTCAATTTGCATTTGAACTTTTTTGAGTTGTATTTAAGCTTTTATTTTTTTAATTTTACTACTGATTTTTCTAGATAAAATAAATAAATTGAAAATTGTACTCCTAATTAGCAACCCAAAATTAATTCTTTTTAGAAAGCCAACAAAAGGAAACGTGATTTCTTGAGTGGGCCGATCCACTTGAGCGATTCATCCATTTGTTGGGCCGCCTGCTCTGCTTCGACTCCACCACATCCACACATCCACAGCATGCGCAGTGAGGAGGGGGGGATGAGTTGCCTCCGCCGCCAGCCCCGCTCTCCGGCGACGGCGCCCATGGATGATGAGAACCTGCTCTCCGAGATCCTCCTCCGCCTCCCCCCGCTGCCGTCCTCCCTCCCCCGCGCCTCCGCCGTCTGCAGGCGCTGGCGCCTCCTCGTCTCCGACCCAGGATTCTCCCGCCGCTTCCGCATCCACCACCGCCGCAACCCTCCCCTCCTCGGTTTCTTTGATGACTTATTATCCTTCGTACCTACTCTGGAGGCCCCTAATCGTGTCCCTCCGGAGCGATTCTCCTTCGAGGACGACGGCGGCCGTCGCTCCGTGATCCTCGGATGCCGCCATGGCCTAGCACTCTTCTTCCTCCCATCTTCGAACCAGATCCTGGTGTGGGATTCTGTCACCTCCGACCAGCACCGCGTCGCCGTTCCTCCAGAGTTTGAGAGAGATGGATTGCAGATCATAATCCAGGGGGCGGTGCTTCGGGTGGCTGCCGGAGAGGTTCACTTCCGAGTGGTCTTGACAGTGGTGGACTTCGAGGACAAACGAGCCCTCGCCCGTGTTTACTCCTCAGCGACCGGCATATGGTGTTGCTTCATGGGTGCTAGGAAGAACTTCTGAAGTGGACAAGTTACTTTCCTTCAACTCAGAGAAGAAGCGACCCTTAGTGATAATGGGGTATGCTGAGGAGAATAATGTTGTGTTCCTGAAGACACCGGTCGGCCTCTTCATGATCCATCTTGAGTCATTTCAGTTCAAGAAACTTCTTCGGACCAAAATTTATCCTTATTATTATCCATTCGAAAGCGTCTGCATTGCAGGTAATAACATGCCTTCACATATCAGTTGCAACAAAACCATATCTATTTTCTATAATTTGTTGACGGCAATACGGTTCACATCCTTTCGTGTTAAGTTAACAATTTTAAGTGCTGTCATATCACTTGTTTTGTTTGCTGCTTGATGACTTAATCAACATATAGCGATTTTGTTTCTGTACTATCTCTGTTCCGATTCTTGTGTGGTGGTGTTTTATGTAATGATTATGGTTCGTAGAAAAAAGATCTGTTGTTGGCGCATATTTTGTTATATGCTCTGCAGCCAAGCGGAGGGCTGCAATTCATTTATTGTTCACCCGCAAAAAAAAATCATTTATTGTTAGCTTAATTTCTGTAATTTTTGTTGTTCAAGTCAGAGCTAGCAAACTCTCTTTATTAAGTTTATTATATGAATACTTGTTGAATAAAACAATGAATGCCAAGATTGGCAAATGGTTTCTTTAGAACTATGTTTCACTGCTTTGTGCCTATTAACACATGCAAGAATTGTAAAATGGTAGTTTTAGTGCATAGCTCCAGTTTTTTTTTCCCTAAAGATAAAGTATATGACACTTGGAAGCTGAAGACAACTACTTGAGAAACTTGCTTGTGAACTGAAATAGCTCAGTCGATACAGTTGGAAGCTTAAAGCTCATTCTGTTTCCTTCTTTCAATATTTAGTATCTCTGTTAGAAGACAGTTTGGATTATCCCTTTTCAATATTTAGCATCTCTGTTGGATGACAGTTGGAAGCTTAAAGATCACTCTATTTCCTTCTTTCAATATTTAGTGTCTCTGTTGGAAGATATTTCCTTCTTTCAGTATTTAGTATATCTGTTTGAAGATAATCCAAATCTGAGCTTAAAGCTCATTCTGTTTCCTTCTTTCATTCTGTGAACTGATTATATTTTTTCAGGCTAAATCAATTTGAAGATAATCCAAATCTGAATAGTCCTGATCACTTTTGTTGCTAAGATTTATTAGTGTGATTATATTTTATTTATTCTGATGTAGCGTGGACTTGAGCTTAATAATTCTGGATAGCCTTTTCTGACCATCTAATGTCTGAGTACATCTTCATTTTCAAGATAGTAACCAGCTTATATTTTTTTCAGAATATTCACTTTTAAGATAGTGAGCATCTTCTTCACTTTTATGGTAGTATAATCAGCTTATACTATTTTCGGAATTTTCATTAAATTCATACTAATCTTGTATAAAACTGATTCTTTTCAAACTACAACAAAGTTTATCTAAACATCTTGCTCATGCCTCCTCGTATCCATTTGGCTTTTTGTTGGAATGGCATTGGTTGTTTTGCCTTCTTATGCTTCCAGAAACAGACATTCGTGGTGGACGTGATGGAACTGATCTTTTGCACAATACATAAGATGGTTATCTGGTTAAATATGCTGTCGTGATGTACTGGTTGAGCAGGTAAGCATATCTTATGCATGTATCTTGAGGTATCTGAACTGTTTTTTTAGTGTATTGTTTTCCTTTTGCCGCCATTTCTCAAGTACCAGATTACAAGATAGGAGTAGGACTAAGATTTTGTCAACAATTCTTTGCTTAGCTGTTTCCCACCTGCCCACCTCGTATCACGCTTTCATGGCAAGCTGCAGCTTCGATCTTTTCTCCAGGCCTTGCTTCCTCATCCCTTGATACCTTCATCAGCATTACCTTCTCATGCCTTCGCCCACCTACCTTCTCTATTATTTGCAGATGTTCTACCCCCTCACTATTGGATGTGCTCTTTCTCTTGCCTTTTCCTTACATTTAGCTGTCTTGCTTTGAGTTACCTCCTCCTTAGTACTCACCTGGTTCCTTCTGTTAGCGCAGTTTCTTCTCCCTCTAGCTCAGATAACTGATCAGCTAGGATGTTCGGTATCTCATAATAGAGTTATTTGAACTACTAATTT